GGGTGTACATGTCTCCAATAGCCTCTCTTAGCTCCATACGAAACAACTCAAAATTATGCATTAAAAATTAATCTTCGAATCTTTTACTATATTAGTGCCTTCGTGTGTGATTTCGAGAGTGCGCTAAATATCAAAAGTAGTTTTGCAAGTAGAAATCCGATTAAACTCAGTTTTGTCTAAGGCACAAAATAGAGCATTCATAGCTCTAGCATTTAAAGAAAACATCTTTTTCTCCAAATCATTCCAATCTTTCATTGGAAGAGAAGACCTTTTAAAACTGGATTCGACAATGTTCTATAAGTTCAAATCCAAAGAAAGCAAAAAAACTCTCATTCGAGTTTTCAAATAAGTGTAGTCGAACCCATTGAAAAAGGGAGGACGAATGAGAGAGTGACCCTCTTGAAAGCCGAAAAGAGCCATTTTTCTTGGGTGTTAAACCAACTAAGAAATCACGAGGCTTTGATACCAATTGTTAGGATCAAGAGGTCGGCACTAACAAGGAGGTGAATTAGTGCAGCGGTAAAATCAGGTCTTAAAAAACTTTCATACGATAAAATTTGTTTATGTTGAAAACGATTTCGAAAACTTAACTTGAAAGCGTATGGAAGCGTAGTGACTAAGTACAGTAGTTTGCAGTATGTAAATGGCAACAATAAAAATGCAAACTAGATTTTTAGAGTGGTTCGGTCAACGTGACCTACATCCACTTTCGGCTTCCTCCTTCGACGATGTCACCGGCGTCCACTAGAGTCCTTCCTTCAATAGGCAAAGGCTAATCACCTTTTACACCCCTCTTCTCCTTTTCATGGGTTTAGGAGATAACCCTTACAAGCACTCACACTCCTCTTACAGAATTCTAAACTTAGAATGGAGGAGGGAATTTCTAAAGAGATTGTAGCAGCATTTATCTACTTTTGAACTCTCCATGCTTGTGTGCTTTAACCAGGGATGAGAGGAGTATTTATAGGCTTCAAATTGATTCAAACTTGGAGCCTAAAACTTTTCCATCTCAGGTTCCCCGGGCACGGGCGGTACCACCGCCTAGTGTTAGTCACACTTACACTACCCTAGGCGGTACCACCGCTTGGGGGGCAGTGCTGGGCGGTACCACCGCCCAAACTGGTGGTACCACCGTTTGGCACCCTGTCAAGGGCGGTACAACCACCCAGACTGGCGGTACCGCTGCCTGACACAGTCTCGAAGACTGTGCCACGACGGTGAGACTTCTTGGGGCACTATTTGGGCCTCTTATTGGGCTCAACACAGTCTTTACATGGGCCTAGCTGGCCCCTAATTAGGTTGGCCCAAATCCAAACCCAATTACGTGCTAACTACGAAATCTAAGACATAATCTGAGTTAAATAAGTCTGTAAGTCTATTCTTTCAGCGAGCTTTCGGCAATCTTCCGGCGAACTTCCGACGATCTCTTGGCAATATTCCGGCGGACTCCTGGCAAGCTCCTGGACTTCACAATAATCTTCTTGGCAAGTTTCGATGAGCTTCTCTAGCAAGCTCCAAGACTTCTTAGCTAGTTCTGCCAGAACTTCCGACGAACGTCCGAACTTCCGACGAACTCTCAAACTCCCAACGAAATCGCATCCTTGACTTCGGGACTTCATTTTGCTATATGCTTTGCTATAATAGTTAATCCCGCACATGTAAAACACACTTCGATCTAGACAATTAATACTAAGCATTAATCAAGTTGTTTGGCATGTTATTGGTCCCTCGACGCTTCATCCGATTCTTCGGCGCATTGTCCTCTCTTGCGGCCTATTGCCCAATCGGCCAGTTGACTCCACAACTCTGATATCCTTGGTGTAATATCCGCTCTTCTTGGCCCGATGCCTGAATCCATGACCCGAAGCCTTCCGTCGATACGTCGACCGATCCATCGATCTGACGTCTAATCTTTTGACATGTTTTCCTTCGTCACAACTTGATTCTTCCTGCTTTAATTGTCTCATCTTGATCGAAGCATCCTGTGTCACTCAAAATGTAGATTAAAACATAAACACTTATCGATTAGTTTCATCATCAAAATCCGAGATTCAACAATTATGTGCTAACTATGAATTCTAAGGCATACACTAAGCTAAATAAGTCCGATGAGTCTAGCTTTCTTCCAGCGAGCTTCCGATAGACTTCGGACGATCTCTCGGCAATGTTCCAGTTGACTCCCGGTAAGCTCCTGGACTTCACGATGATCTTCTTGGTGAGTTCCGACGAGCTTCTTTGGCAAGCTCCTGGACTTCTCGGTTAATTCCGATAGAACTTCCGACGAACATCGGGACTTCCGACGAACTCTCGAACTCCCAATGAAATCTCGTTCTCGACTCTGGGACTTCATTTTGCTTTATGCCTTGCTGTCGTAGTTAATCCTGCACACATAAAATGCACTTCGATCTAGACAATTATTACTAAGCATGAATCATGTTGTCCGGCATGTCATTGGTCCATCGACGCTTCGTCTGATTCTTCGGCGCATCGTCCTCTCTTGCGGCCTATTGCCCAATCGGCCAATTGGCCTCCGCAACTCTGATATCCTTAGCGCAATATCTGCTCTTCTTAGCCCGATGCCCGAAACCATGGCCCGAAGCCTTCTGTCGATACGTCGATCGATCCTCCAGCGCGACGTCCAACCTTCTAACATGTTTATCTCCGGCCCAACATGATTCTTCCTGTTTTAATTGTCTCTCCCTGATCGAAGCATCCTGCGTCACTCAAAACAAAGATTAAATTATTAAACACTATCAATTGGTTTCATCATCAAAATTCGAGATTGAACATTCTCCCCTTTTTTTATGATAACAACAAATTGATAACGGAGTTAACCTTAACTCCTCTATCAATATGTCATATTGATAGAACTCTTGGATTCAAAAATCCAAACAACATGTTATCATAAACTTATACATAACATCATCATACTTCTCCCCCTTTGTCATCAACAAAAAAGAGAAGTTCAACTATCAAGTGTTTAGGACATATTACAGTTCAAATCATTACATTATAAATATAGTCTTCAGTTTTATCATCATGCAAGCTATCAAAAATTTGAGTTTTGCAAGTTTATAAATTTTGCCATATGTGCAAGTTTAGCATATTTTGCTTCGTGAGATAGGTAAGATAGCATTTCTTGGTGATGTTCAAGATAGTAAATTCTACATCATGCAAGCCAGTGAATCTTACAACATTTTAGAACATACAACCTAGCAAATTTTTGCATCATTTTAAAAGATGTAAGCTAGTAATATTTGAGATGTTCAAGAAAGCAACTTTTGAAATATGCAAGTTAGCAATCTTTGCTTCTCTTTTAAGAAGTGCAAGCTATCAATTTTGCTTTCTAGCAAGTTTTGCTCCCCCTTTGTCATTGTCAAATAGAAGGGAAGAATACAATGTTATAATTCTTTTCCCTTTATATCAATTTCCAAATCATGATAAAGGTAAACAATAAAAATAAATGTCAAAAGATCATATATCATTTTTGACAAGTTTCTTCTTTTTGTAAATAGAAAGCATGATAGGAAACAATCTTGATTCAAAAAGAAAAATCAAGTTATAATTCCAAGAATTTATAAGAAAAATCATGATTCATTTGATAAAAAGATTGTTGATTCATACATTTGAATAAATATTATTTTAAACCAACATCACTTCAACTCATCATGCATTATTTCAAAATGTAAGCTAGCAAAAATTTAGAGTTTTGCAAGTTTGTAAATTTTGCTAGATGTGTAAGTTTAGCATTTTTGCTTCTTGAGATAGGCAAGATAACACTTCTTTGTAGTGTTCAAGATAGTAAGTTCTATATCATGCAAGCTAGCAAATTAGAGATGTTCAAGAAAGTAACTCTTGCTTCATGAAATATGCAAGTTTTACAACATACAAGCTAGCAAATTTAAAGATATAAAAGTTGGTATATTTGCTTTTCTTTGCGATGTGCAAGATAGCATATTTTTGTAACTTCTAGCAATTCTTGGTGATGTTCAAGATAGCAATTTCTTCTCTTTTGAGAAGTGCAATTTTTGCTTTCTTCTTGAATTGTGCCGACTAGCAAATTTGCTTTCTAGTATGTTTTGCTCCCCCTTTGTCATTGTCAAAAAGAAGGAAAGACCCTTTACATCAATTTTCAAATTATGACAAAGGTAAATAGCATAGATGAAAATTCAAAT